GGACAATTAAATAGGGACATCCCAATATGGTAAAATGAAACATTTAAAAGGGGACGGAGGTAGGGCCGGTCCTGAGGAAATGAAGGCCCTGTGCAAAAAAAATAATTGGGCCTTCTTTTCAAAGTTTCAACACAAGTTAAAAAACCGAACCGAAACCGCACCGACTCAAACGGGACCCGAAAGTCGGGACTCGAACATAAATCGGTTTAATGAAGATTTTTTGAGTTATAAAATCGGTTCAAACCGAACCGAACCGATTTTTATTAAGAGGTATTTTAATTATTTATTTTGTAGAACAAATAGGTAATATAGAACTTGTACGTCCGTATTTCAAGAATTAGTTGATTTGGTCCGGCGGTTGATGTTTAGAAATCAGCGTGCATGCTTTTATTTTCACCTGGGTTTAAATCCCGCATGCCTCGCTTCTTTTCTTTTTTGTTTCTAAAGCTTAAGATTCCCACACCGGTGGAAACGGAGAATTTATCACTCCTTCGTTCCTATATACATGCTTCTCCTTTGCATATGAGGAATACGCGAAGTGATGAACCAGGCTTGCTTCAAAGCCTTGCCCTAGTCCACCTAAGTAATAATACTCCCTCCGTCCCGCTAACATTGGGACAAAAGGGAGTGACACACAAATTAATAAAAAGTTATTTATGTGGTTGATATTGAATTGGTAAAGTAAGAAAAAAGTAAGAATGATTTAGAGCCACACAAACTTTACCAAGTTTGGTATGAGACAATATTAATGAGACGAACCGATAAGGTAAAATGGGACAATCATAGTGGGACGGAGGTAGTAGAGTATACTACTACAAAAAAAAATTGGGCCCTTCCAATTTTTTGGGCCATGTGCGGTTGGACACCCTGCACATCACCAGGGCTGGCCCTGGTTGGCAAGGTATGTTCAATCTAGTTCTTCTGAATCTTCAAGATTTCAATTACTCGTCCTCCTCCTGAACCACCGCCTCACTCGAGGAAAAAGTTAGCGCTCAACTGGATTTCATTTTCGGTGGTTGGTCAAACTAATGATTCATACAATTTCTGTTTAATTGAGTTTCTTTTGTTGGTTGCTGGTCAAACCAATTCTCCCTTTCTGGCGGCCGGTGAACTTGATCTTTTAATTGTAATTAGGGAAAATCGCACTTTTAGTCCCTGAAATAGTCACCATGTTGAAATGTCAGATCCGTATTTCTGAGATTGTAAATGTCATCCCTCAATTTTCCATATTGTTGTTAAGGTGGTCCTTTGAGGGGTGAAATGTACTCCTCGCTCACATTGTACATTTCACCCTTCAAAGGACCACATTTACAACAATTTGGACAATTGAGGGGTGATATTTATAAAATAGAGAACACGGGTCTGACATTTCAATATGGTGACTATTTCAGGGACTAAAAGTGCGATTTTCCCTTGTAATTATTTATTTTCTCATTGGAGTAGCAAAAAGAACAGCAAGGGTTTTAGACTACATTACATTATTGTGGGTTAGTGATATCGAAAGATTTATTGGATCTTTTACATTCTATGTCTCATCCCATTATAGCTTTTAGGCTATTCATTCTCTTGTATCTTTGCTATTCTTCTAATAATAATTTAGTTATTTGATTTTCAAAAAAAGACAACGAGTCAAATAGTGTATAGTCAAATAGTCAGTGACTAAGTTGCAACCTATTGTAACAAGTAAAAAGATTGTTAATTACTCTGTACGATATTGTATGATTGTATGATTTGTATCCTTGTCTAGGATGATATTTACACCTCTGATGAGTAGGATTGGACACAGTTCCAGAACCGAGCGGGTAAAGAATCGGGCTACGTGCCTGGATTTGCTGTTCTGGACTAGAGCCCGTATATGTGGAACTGGTTATTCGGTTCTGACCATGTTGTTCCCAATCCAGTTTTTTAGTTACGGTTTGGTTTCTCCCTTTCCCTGCTTGGAACTGGCCATTCCACATGAAACCACTTTTGGAGAATTTGATTGGTAACAGCTTGTGCATTTCATTACATGTAGAACTATTTCAAGGTACTTTTTGCAAGAAGAAACGTATCGTGAATGTCTTACCTATGTATATGTGTTTTCCATAGATCACCCGTATAGTTTTTATATTACATATTTCTACAAGTAACGTTAACTTTTGAACTCACACTTCATAATTGATCTTCTAGAGTCCTAATGCTACAGCTTTAAGATGTAGTTACAGGTGGATTTGGGCCAGTTTTGGTCTTGTTACGATACACACTAGACGAGCACTTTGTCACAGTGCGTCAAAATAAATCGATACTAGCATTAATACATAGTATAGGTGTAGTAGAGTTCGTAGTCGGAGGAAAGGAATAATTCTCTTTTTATGAAACTAGTAAATAAAAGGGGGGTTTTGGGATTGAATGATTTAATTTAAAAACTAAGATGAACGACCTATATGTGTTTTAATTGAAAGATAAAAGAACTTGGCATTGCTATTTTCCACTTGTTGATATATTTTAGTCGATCATTGTTATATCTATAACTTATTCCCTCTCGAATACTCAATCGAGGAGTATATCCAATTCATCGAGGGTAGTTATTAACAACGACCGTTCATTAAAAACCCTTACTATTAGTCAAGTATAGAACACCGCCATATACCAACTTGATAGTAGCATTTAATCTCTTAACTCCTTGATGAAATCAATTGAGATTGATAACCTCAACACAACGGTTTCGGTTTAACCAACAAAATTAATCCCTATTAAGTTTATCAACCACGACCGTGCATTAATAAACCGAATTTACTTACTTGTGAAACCATCAATGATTAACCATCGGTTCGTCGATCGTTTCTAGTAATAATTAATATATGAAACAAAACTAGTTGATCCTTTAAGTAATGTTCAAAATATTAATATGAAATATGAATATGAATTAATTAATATTCAAGGAAGAATATTATTAAAGGAGATGAATCCTACTATAATTAATATCAAGATGTTAACTAATTGTCATCTTAGCAACACTCCCTAACATTAATATAGAGTAAGAAAATACTACTCTAACTAATGTCAAGATGTTAACTAATTGTCATCTTAGCAACACTCCCCAACATGAATATAGACATAGTATTAAGGAGAGAACTAATAATTAATATTCAAGGGAAGAAGTTAAGAAAATAACTCACAACTTTAATAATCAACAAGCTTCAAGAGCAACACCAAGAATGAGAAGTTTAGCTCCTCATTTGGAGACTAAACATAGCTAGAAAAATATAAAGAAATGCTACTCTAAACTGAGCTTAAGTATATGGAAGAAGGAATGATCAAATGGGAAGGAAAATGGGTGTATTTATAGGTGTTTGGAGGTGGCAGGGTCATTTACCCGATCGGGTTTTTCAGAAACCCGATCGGGTTTCTTGAGTAAGTGCCCGGAATCTTCATTAGTCACATCTACCCGATCGGGTTTTTGATTTACCCGATCGGGTAAAAGATAAATCTTTCCCAAATCTTCGCCCTGCACATTTAATTGCCTCCAAATCAAAATTTGATCTTCGGGTCAAGTCAAACCCGACCAGGTTTTTGGAAAATACGGTCGGGTTTTGACTATTTTCCCAAATTTTCACTTTCTCTTGTTCCCTCTTGCACTTTCCTTGACCTTTCCAGGATCCTTTTGATGATCTTTACCTAGTTTAAGCTCAGAAAATCCTTAATCTATACAAATTACAAGTAACTAGGAAAAGTAAAGTATTACATCAAAACTGTGTAATTTTCCAAACAACAACAAATAAAACTAGTTAAAATTACAAACATAAACAATAACAATTTTATACTATCAACACTCCATCAGGTTATGGGAATTTCTAGCAAGATTTGGTTTTGGTATGCTTTTTTAGATTTTTTTTTGTTTTAAAATATCAAATAGCCGGAACTGGCTCAATAAAAATTTGGAGCAACTATACTCTGGACGAGCGGTTTTCCGATACTGATTCTCACCCTCTTTTGATTCCGATCCAGTCTGATTCTGGAATAAGTACCACCCATAGATGTAGGCCGAAGTGCCGGACTAAGGGTGGATCCAAGATTTTGGGACAGCCCGACGCTCTAAACTTCAGCCCAACATAGTTCATACATAGATCTTCCCCTGAGTGGACCGGACAACGGACACTAGTGTATCATTTGCTCCCTTCTTGACTCTTCTTATTAGTATCTTGGATAATAAAGACTTGGGAAATTTGCTTCTACACGGCTCATTGATTATAGGCATTCCTACTGTCTCGATCTCAACTTTTATTAAAAAACACTTTCTTTGAAATCACTTTAAAGAAACATTTTTTAAGTGGAAAAGGGTTAGATAAGCCCTCTAACATACATAAAAAGGTCAAATAAGCCCTTATATAGAAGGTTCTGTCCGTCCGTCGTCATTTGGGGCAGTTCCCGGTGTAATTTTTTGATCAATTTTTTTTATTACCTTATTCATTAAGTCCAATTTACTCATACCAAATTTCAGCTAAAATTTCGATCGGGAAAGCATTCAAATGAATTCTTGAAGATTATTGCGCAGTTAAAAGCGCAGTTATCTTCAAGAATTCATTTGAATGCCTTCCCGATTGAATTGTTAGCTGAAATTTGGTATGAGTAAACTAGACTTAATGAATACGGAAAACTATCAAATAAGCCCTCGTACTATACCGAAAAAGTCGATTAGGCCCTCGTACTTTACAAACACTCAATTAAGTCCTTGAACTCTTAAAAACGTTCAATTAAGCCATTTTAGTCGGTAAGTAACCGGTTTCCCGGTTAAATGTAACCTGTTTCCCGGAAGCCGTCGTTGCTGGAATTCGAGCACATCGTCGCCATCATCGTCGTTTAACCGGGAAATCGGTTACTTACCCACTAAAAGGGCTTAATTGAACATTTTTTAATAGTTCAAGAACTTAATTGAGTGTTTGTGAAGTACGAGGGCCTAATTGACTTTTTCGGTATAGTACGGGTGCTTATTTGATAGTTTTCCCTAATGAATAAGATAGTCAACGAGCATCTCAACGATTTTTGAGCGAATTGGAAGCGTTGCGTTAGGAACCTTACTACTATCAAGAGGACAACATCTTGAAATCTCCCTATATGCCTAATCCTGCGCTTTATAAGTACTTAAATCTAGATCCTCTATTCAAACGGTTCAGGGAAAATGCAGAATCATTTCGTGAAATGTACGTGCCTTTTTCAACCAGAGTTTTGTCTTAAATTTAACCTTATCCTTCGTGTTGCAATATATTTAACTTATTTGACATGTTGAATTGACTTTACCTGTATGTCTTTCTGGATGCTAGCTGGGATTAATTACTGATTTTTTTTAATCTGCAATCTTCTCCTTCTTGTGGTTAGTGCTTTTGTATGGCCCTCCGATAACTGTTCATCCTCAGACCTCAGACATGACAGGAGCAGCTGCCCACAACGACCCGCCATGGCTGTTTAGTGATTTGGAGAGGCCCGATTTAGATATCATATTGATGAGGCCCCATCTTATAAAAAAGTGAGATAATACTCGAGTGTATCAATAGTTTGCTCCTAGGACTTGAACCAATTGAAAAACTTAAGAAAATCTTACCTTCAATGAAAATTGAATAAAAAACTACGTAGTATAATGTATAGCCCCAGCAATCCAACAATCAATGATTATAATGGAATATCTGAGAGTAGATGAGAGAATTAATTACGTATTACAAAGGTAAATGGGCCCTAATATAAAACTGAACCATTATTTAATAACTAAACAGTTTATAACACGTATACAAAGATAAATAAAACACTTGAACACAATAAAATACTCCTAACATATAACATAGTTTATTAAAAATATAAAGATGTTTATTAAAACATACAAGAATTCAAAAAACATAAAACTTAAATTTCATACTATACTACTAATACTAATTTTTAAAAAATTGAGGCCCCAATAGTTATTGGGTGCAGTTCCAAAGAACCTAAAGAACCCCCTATAACCTGGCCCTGCGTGTTGTAATAAAATGTGTTGTTAGGCTTTTTTGAGGGTGCCATAGATTGAGAAGTTTATTTTCACAGTCATGCTAGGTGTACAACATATTTATACCCCAATGTTTTTTCAGACAGACAAGATTTTTGTCTGCAAGAACAATGTTTTGGTTGCGTTATTTTAGTCTGTTAGAAAAAAGATTTTGTTCACACAGATTTTTTTGCTTTTCTTTAAAGAGTCACAGACAGTATATTTTGTCCTTGGGATGACATAAAATCACACAAACAAAATCTTGCCCGTTTGAAAAAATCTTGCATTTCATAAATAGCATGTTCTTATTTTTCTAACTGCATTTCATATATGCATCTTCTGTTTCATTTATGTGCACTTTATTGTTATTTGGAGTTTTTGTCTAATTTTTCTACTTTTCATGATAGTTATTAGTTTATTACTTTACCATTGATTGCTTTTCCTTCATTGCATTGTTGTGTAATCTAATCATCATAAATGCATTGCTTAGAAACAAAATTGCAGGCAGGGACTTGGATACTGTAAAATATTGTGACTTCTCTACGTTGAATGAGATTACAAATGGGTTCAAGAAAGAGAACTTTATTGTCAAAACTTTGTTTGGTAGCTTGTACACAGGCACTATTTTTCAGCAAGGCTCCAAAAACCGACAAGTGCTAGTGAAGACGTGGGGTTTTTACCAAAGGCATTCTTGCAATGGTTACTATTCTGTGTATCCTTCTACATTCTTTGTATGTGCAATTTTTTCCTTAAAACTTGTGCTTGAGTAAAAATGGGAATCAGATTTAAATGGTATCTAGTAATTGAAGCTTTGTATGGTAGGCTGAAATCAAGCTACTTATTCAAAAGGAATTGGGAGGACATGATAATTTCGTGAAAATGATTGGATATTGCCTCGAAAAGAAGCTTGCAGCGGTATATGAAGGGAAAGCTAATATACTCTTATCTCAGTTGTTAAAGTTTGTTATGTAGTTTGCTCTACCTATGGCTGTTAATAAACCGAGCTGTTTTCGAACTGCTTGAGCTCGAGTTCGATTTCAGACCTAACGAGCCGAACTTAACGAGCTTCAAACTCGAATACGAGCTGAGTTTTGAGTTCGGATAAATAATCGAGTCGAGCTCGAGCATAGTAGTATTTGGCTCGATTCGAGCTCGAGCGTATTGAATATTGTTGTAAATAGATTTGAATGTTTTGATGCTTATGCTATCATCATGAAATTTAGATAACTTTGATTGGGATGGGCGAATGAAGGTGGCACTTCAACTAGCAAAGTTTTTGGAGTGGTTGCATGCAAAACACATTATACTTGGTGCTATCTCTGCTGATTCAATTTTGGTAGATGAGGTTGTTGGTGGATATGCTATTGTATTTCTCATTATTATTATTATTACTTTATATTGAATAAATTTATAAATCGATTTCTTATTTGGGCTTCAGCAAGTATTCTTTCATATGCAGGAATATAATGTAACATTTTTTGAGTTGGGTCTCACTAGGTGTGTATTGGACTCCAGAAAAGGAGAATCTACAGGTGATCTCAAGTGGTGTTATGCTCAATTTTCCGCTTCAGAAGATAAATCAGGCATGTATCCTTAGGATCTTTGTATGCTGAACTGGGAACTATGAGTAGTTTTGTTTTTGCTTCATAATTTGCATTCTGTCACATATCTCATACTGGTCAAATTTAAATGTACAAACCAACAAGTACAACAATAGAATACTCCTTGTCTCCTCCAATGATGATGGAACTCCAAGTTCTAATATGGTATAAAGAGTCAATTGAACTCAAACATACATCTCTCTTTGACTAAGACTAAAAAATGACACTACTTTTGGTTCCAATAAGCCGCCGTATTTATGTGTCATGTGAGCCACCTACATCCGCATAACATAAAGATACAAATGAACATACTCCCTTTGTCCTTAATTATGTCTCTTATTTTCCCTCTTGGTCTGTCCCAAAATGAATGTCTTGTTTTTTTGTCAAGAAATATGTGGATCTTACTATTTCACCCTACTATACTAAAACAGCAATCACAAATTTCGTTTTTCAACCACTTTATTCATACTTATTGTGCCAAACCCAAACCAGACACATAAATCAGTACGGAGGAACTATGACATTAGACCATTCTTCTGGTTAGCTATAACCAAGTTGCCTTCCATTTGGTGATATGAGCTCTAAGTCTCTTTTCTGTAAGATTGGTTTTCAGGCATTCAACAACTTCTAATTATGTTGTTGAACTAGTGCAGATACATGGACTTGTAAATCAGACGTTTTTGCCTATGGTTCTGTACTCTCCCTCCTGATAAGGAAAGAGTATTATGGGAATGGCAATTATAGTAGCGCAAGAGCATTTGCATTGCAGGACTTCAACAAAAATCAGATTCTTGTGAATGGAGATTTTCAGGTGGATGAAGCCGATGCATATAAAATCACAGAGTTGACATTGAAATGTTTGGAGCCGGATCCCAATAATCGAGTTGATATGGGTGATGTTGTTCACTTCTTAGAGCAGTTGGCACTTGATCACATTGCCAAGAAACAGAAGTTGAACTAACGAAAGGCTGTTCTGGTTATTATTAAGTTAGCCAGTGGTTTATCGTTATATTGCATTAGCCCATCAAACCTTTGTTTGGAGGCTGATTATGGATGACACATATTATGACTCGTGAAAGTTGCATGCATATGTTTTCAGCATCACATTGAAGTGATTTGTGTGGTAAATTTTTCATCTCTATTGTTAATTGTCTGGCATAGGGGTGGACTCGGGTCCGGGCCGGGTCCGGGCCGGGTCCGGGTCGGGCCTAGGCCCGGGCGGGCCGGCGGTTCAAGTATGGTGGACCCGGGACCGGCCCGGGTAGCCACCGGGTCCGGGCCGGGTCCGGGCCGGGCCGGGCCTCCGATTTGGATTTTTTTTTTTTTTTTGCTTTCCTAACCCCCCCTCACCCCCACCCTCCCAAACCCCCCCAAACCCATCCTACCCATCAAGCCCAACCCGGGTGGAACCCCAAAAATGAAAAAAAATAAAAAAAATTCAATTTGGCCCGAGCCCGACCCGGCCGGGCCGGTTCACCAAAATTGAGACCCGAGCCCGGACCCGCCCTACCCCCCGGGCCTAGGCCCGGACCCGGACCCGAGAACCGGTCCGGTCCCGGTCCCGCACAGTAGCGGGCCGGGCCGGTCCACGGGCCGGGTGGCCCGACCCGAGTCCAAGCCTAGTCTGGCATGTCAGAGGATAATTCGCAGTCACCATCTTTGAACCCGCACATTGTCACTCTCAATGTTTATACAAAAAAATATTATCTAATGATTTTATGAGTTATTCATATTGTCAAAAAATTATAAAATTATTTATAATATATTTAAAATTCAATGAAAATAAAAATAACATAAAGAAAACAAGAGAGAATACCTAGGCGCCTGCCTAGACGCCTAGACGGGCTAAGCGTTAGGCGGACAGTTACCTCCCGAGTAGTGCCTAACACCTATTAGAACACTGATACTACATAATAACTAAAGCAATAAATTAAAATGATAGAAGTCATCCGTCGTGCAAGGATTCCATCTATTCCACACGTGTCAAGAAGCGGTTTTAGAGTTTCGTCTGGTTAGGCACAATCAGTGGCAACGCTTGATGTGTTGTGGATACATATTTTGCAAACACAGGGGTGGTCGGTGCAGTCTTCGAATGAAGCTCCATCTGTATAATGATGCCTGCCTGCATTCTTCTAATACCCCCTTTTGCCCGTTGTCGTAGTGTATAATTGGCAGGAAGTGATAGTACTGATGTCACTTTAATTGCTGCTTGATTATGCATATGTTTGCATCTCTCCCTCACTTCTGTATGTTGTTTGAAATCCCGGCCAAATAGCTTATACAACACATACATATTTTTGAGCGCAACCCTTTGAGCCCTGATTTCATTTGGCCGCAATATCTAATCCGCTACTACGTTACGTACTCTATAAGAAATCCAAAAGTAAAGTAGATCCTTTTCCTTAAGAGTCCATGCATAAGTCAGGCTTGTCGACCCTAATTTTTTGAGCTCTCAATGTATAAGGAATAGAAACCCAAAAATTAACAACAAAAATGAAGTCCACAGCTAGTAAAAAAGCAGTCAGATACTTCGTATATGAGAGTCAAATTTTTAAAATGCCAATTAATTAGAAGCTCGATCCACGGGTAAATTTGGTTTCCTCTATGCACGGTTCGATTATATTTTCATACCTTTTGGGTTCTTAGATCGATACGTGCATGATGAGTTCATTTCATGTAATAGAGTTTTCAATGTTCAAATAGGCCAGGGTTCAGTCATATATTAAGATCGAACCTGGTTTTAAAAATAAATTTCTAATGCTTTTCTGCATACTTATATTCTTTAATTCTAGGGGGAATTTGACTTTGCATCCCACTTTTTGGGTGATATTGGACTTTGCACCCTATTTTCAAAAAAGTTTGACTTTGCACCCCAACACATACCATTTTGTGAAGAAAATTTTCTAAATGGGGTGCAAAGTCAAAGGAATTTTAAATGAAATGGGGTGCAAAATCAAAGTTTTTTCAAAATGGGGTGCAAAGTCCAATATCATCCAAAAAGTGGGGTGTAAAGTCAAATTACCCCTTAATTCTAAGCTTTAATTTTAAGTACTCTCTGAATAATGCTTTTGGGGTTATCTCTCCATATGAGCCTTTTAGATGCGAAAGATTCTAAGTGATATGAGCTTGTTTATCTCAATATAAACAATATAATTTGTTCTTTTTCATTTGGACGACATGGTTGTATTAATTCTCTCTTAGTGGTGTTCAACAATTAAAAACAATATACATGTAAATAAATACATAAACATGTGTTTGTTTGAATGGAGAGCTTATAATACTTTGCTTAGTATAAAACTCAATAGTTATTTCTTACCTCATAATCTTTAGACTACTAAGCAAGTTGGAGGATTCTAGATTATGTTCGAGCTAGGGTGCGTAACATCACAATGGAGATGTTCGGATTTATATCGATGCATGGAGCTTTCAGATATTTTGAAGCAGCTATTGGAATTTGAAAAGCCCTTGTGTACTAAATAGTCTTAATTGTAAATGCATTGGAAACATAATAGTGAATTAGTGATTGTATCGAAGAGTCCATTTTTTAAGTTAAGAGTTAATATTTTTAGTTTTTTACCATTCTCTCCCAATCCCCATGCTAGTTTTTTCCAAAATATTAATTGAGATCGGCGCACGTGTTTAACAAAACAATTCATGAAACGCGTCACTCCAAAAATGAAAAAAAAAAGATTGCTACAGTGTTCCCGTCTAAATTTGCTCCCAGACTTTTTTGTTATTATATATCTATAGATTAAGTTAAACACTCAAGCTCACTACAATTTAAGGATTCCGTTAGTATTTACCCTTTTACACTGTTCCAACCTTTTACCCTATTAGTTTTAATTAAGTTAAACACTCAAGCTCACTACAATTAAAAAAAAATTAAAAAAGTCCCTGTCGGATTGGAAAATCCGACCAAAGGGTTTTCCCTTTTTTCCAAACCCTTCCCACTTTGCTACATGTTACCTTTTCCCGTATATTGAGAAATCAGACGAATATGTATCTTATACCTGTTTCAGTGTGAAGCGAGGGTCAACTGTTCAACCTCCTGTCTTCACCGTTTTTTCCCTTTTTTGATGACAACTACCGTGCCTTTGCAAAATTGAAGGGTACAGTACCTGATTGTGTGAAAGTGGGGTGATTTACCAAAAAACGGAAAAGTTCAACGTGGGTTGCCAAAATATAGGGTTTCCCAATTTACGGGAGTTGGAATTCTTTCTTCCGACTAGGGGAAGGGTTTTGAAAAATTATACTCCTCCCTAGTCAGATTTCCCTAATCCGACAGCATTAATTTCTTTTTTTTTATTCGGAGCACTCCAATCTTCTCCACTAACCTTTTTTGAATAATGTTGAGTTTAATAATGTTGAGTTTTGTATTTCTTGTCTAGCTGAATCCGACTAACCTTTTTATCATTATCATTAGAGATTTTACTCGAAATAGGACTAAAACAGTTTGAAAATTCCAAAATAAGACTGTCATGTTTTTATTCCCAAAATAGGACTAATTATTGTCATGTTTTGGCAGTACTAGACTTCAAACATGTCAGTATTTTCTAAACATGGCAGTAACTAGTCCTATTTTGGGAATAAAAAATATGACAGTCATATTTTGGAATTTCGAAACTCTTTTAGTCCTATTTCGGGAACTTTCCCTTATCATTATCATTATCATTATCATTATCATTATCATTATGATTATCATCATTGTTATCATCATTGTTATCATCATTGTTATCATCATTATTATATCATTGTTATCATCATTGTAATCATTATTGTTATTGTTGTTGTTGTTATTGTTATTATTATTATTATTATTATTATTATTATTATATTATTATTATTATTATTATTATAAATTATTATTATTATGATAAATTATTATTATTATAAATTATTTTGTCTCATTCCTCACGCGAGCCTTCCTAGTAGGGGTGGGTTCGGTTGCTTCGGTTCTGTGTTTGACCTAAAACCAAACACAGAACCAAAGTGAAATGTTCGGTTCGGTTTCTTTGATAAAAATATCCAACCACGGTTTCGTTGGTTCGATTGGTTTCGGTTTGGTTTCGGTTTTTATTCGGGTTTTTTTTAAAACCAAAAGTCCATGTATGAAAATAAGAGGAGGAACAATTGGCATGCAAATTTAGTAATTTAGTCTAATACGGAGTAAATGAAAACACATTAAAGTAGCATACAAATTAACAAATAAAGTTTTCAAAATAAACCATATAAAAGCAAGCACATAGAAGCGAAGGCAATCCTAATAGTCAGGTAATTTAATATGCCTTTTCAGATGATTCTTTATTACCTGGTTTGGAGAATAAGACCATGCAAAGACACTTTTTAGAACAAATCCACACAGCAAAACCATTTACTCATAGAGAGTTTAGTGAATCTTATAGAACAACTATTTTTTCTCAAATGCAGTTAACGAATCTAATACGTATTATATAAAATAGTAATCATAGTAAACCTCAAAAAAATTATAGATAAAAATAACATCATAATAATCTCAAATTGTAAAGGTGAAATGTTACCTCTGTTTGAAAGTCTTCGATTGGAATCAACTTGTAATAGATCCAAAGATGTCAACAATTGATAGATGAGTGAAAGCTGATGAAGAGAAGTTTAGTTTCTCATGAGCTCATCTCTCCTGCTGTAGATTCGAGAAGAAAATCGGAAGAAGTTCAGAACTCCGCCGCAAGAGGTGAAATGCATCTGCGAGATACTCTAAGCCTCTAACTCCTCTAAGGTGCAAAGCTCAAGTCTGCCTAGGGTAAAAGTTAGAAGACCGTAACTTGTTCAGCCACTAATTGAGCCCAATGTCGGACAAAAGCCCAAGTGTATAAAATAAAATACTTAGTTTTTAATGTTTCGGTTTTTCGGTTCGGTTCGGTTCTGGAGAGCCAAAACCGAAACCGAAACCGAATAGAAACGGTTCGGTTCGGTTTTCCCTTTCGGTTTCGGTTCTTTCTCGATTCGGTTGTTTTTGGTTGCGGTTCGGTTATTTTTTGATTCGAGTTTGGTTTTCGGTTTTCCGGACCCAACCCTACTTCCTAGTATGTCCACACATCCAACGCAGCATGCGCATTTCTGT